CTGACACAGATCGGGGATCTCCTGGAGCGCGAGCTGTCCCGCCGCGCGCCTGCCCAGTGGCGTACGAGCCAATCTCTCTCTGTGAACGAGGTCACATTGCCCGCAGTGGACGATCGGTACGCGATAGTCAGCGTCGCATCGGTGACGCGCACAGGCTCGTGGGACTGGGCTTGGTCGGGAGTAACCACAGGGCATGTCCAACACGGCGGCACGTGGAATTGCACCCGGACGGAATAACCACATGAGCATGTCAAAGACGGCGGCTGGTGGAACTGGGCTTGGACGGGAGTAACCACATGAGCATGTCAAAGACGGCGGCTCGTGGAATCGCGTCGTAATGGGAGCAACCACATGAATGCCGAAGAGGGCGGCTCGGGCACGCCTGCGTCAGTTGAAAATGCACCACGTTTATGCACTGCGGGCGTCTATTGTGGGCGTAGAGCATAGCTCAGGCATGCGATCACACCAAGAGAATGGCTGCGGAAAGTTCAGGCTGACATTGCAACCTGAAAATCACACATTTATGGCGCGCTGTAATATCCAGAGCGCTTGGTGCAGGCCATCTTAAGGATTATCGCTGTTTTGCGATTAATTGCGTCGCCTGCAACATAAAAATCTGCAAAAGTACGGTTTCTTTGTGTCATGAAACATCAAAACTTCACGTTACGTGCAGAAACGCCTGTTTCGAAGCGGACGCAGATGCTGTCACCATACCAAATATTCCGGACAATTTTTACGCAAATTTCATTGTATAACTTTTCGGCAGTACCTATTTTGCAACGAGCAAGGGCCGACCGCAATGCTCACTACATGCAGTTGGCCAGGCCGCCGATGCAAACATAAATACGGAAACATTCTCCAACCCCGCCACTTCCATCTGTTTCCTATTCATGAGAACCCCCTTCACATTCCGGCGTACTCGTAACGCGCATATTCTCCAGCACTTCCTTAAACGCTTCGAAACGTTGACAGCAGCCACAATTTCTCACGTCGTAAAAATACGCCGGATGCTAAATCGCTATTCTGTCATGTAGCGTATTCTTCCATTGGGAAGCCTCGCACGGGGTGGGATGAGCTGTGCCACACAGATGCGAGAGTTGTCCGTTGTTATGAAGATGATGCTAAAAACTTAGCCGAAGGAGACAGACATCTTCGGAAACCAATACCAATACTTTTCCTAGAAGTCCACCCTTCGTGCAAATTTTAACCAGGGGAGGCAGGTCCACTGATGCCAAGCTTCGTGCACCAATTGATGATAAACATTGTTTGAAAAGTTGCCAGCTTCAAGCCTGCCCGGCTAGGCCGTTTGAGTTGACGAAATTGATGAACTTGCAACATCTTATCTCTTACCAAAAGCGAGCGAAGTTTTTAACAAAATGGTACTTTGGGTGCACATTGGCCACAAATGAACAGAGCTACAAGTCCATGCAACTTGCAAGGTCGTAACTCTCTCCATGTAGGCCAGAGCAGCTTGCGCCCAAAGTCGTTTTCGGAAAGGGTGGATTGTCCGCCCCAGCGTATCTTACTGACGCGCTTATGGATCTGACAGTTTTGATATTATTGAGCCATTGCGGACAGTGTACTTTCCCACCACGTGCATTTCGTTTCACACTTCATATGCTCCATTTCACACTTCATATGCTCTATTTGACAGATAGCTCCAAGCGCTGATATGAAGTGCCCTCAAACGTTCGCACCCATGGCGTACGCACAAAAGCGCGAAGGTGCGCACATCGGCTCATACTTCTATGATACAACTGTCTGTTTTTACTTTATCAAAATCAGTTCGTCTCGGTATGATTGCGACGCCGGATGATCGAGGTGTGAACAAGTTTTGGTCCACATGACGCAGTTTTTTGTTAATTAAAATTTTTTAAAAGTACTCAAAATTGTCATTTTCCATCTTTTTTCAAAATCAATTTAAACTAAACCATTTCACGTTTTCTGTGTTAATAGAATGTGGGGAGATCAGATCGTAGCGGCATTGCAATGTTTGAAGAACAAACGGC